TTGCAATCGGTGCCGAGCACTCGGCCATCCCTGCAGAGCTGTGTCACTGCAGAGCCCTGTCCCCGCAGAGCCGCGTCCCCACAAAGCAAGCAGACAAAAGCCCCTTTCTGCTCGCAAGCCACGGCCTGACCCAGCCCCGGGAAAGGAGGGAGCGGCCGAGGGCTGGGGAGGGAGAGGGGCTTTTGGCTCTCACCCAGCTGCAGCAACAAAGCCCCCTTTCTGATGAGCCAGCGACTGGTTTCCATTAAAAGTTGGGGCTGACGCTGGCAGCCAGGCTGCCTGGTTTGACCTTCCTCTACCCGTCCAGCTGCGGCGTGCCGCCGGGCAGCTTGCGGATGGCATTTCAGCTCCCCGTGGCAGCTCAGCCCCCGGCACAGTGCAGGGAACCATGTGCGCCATGAAAATGCCACGCTTATCCCAGTTCCCCTGTGGCCACATGTCTTCGGGGAGCGTTTTCTCCCAGGGACCCCAAAGGGTTTAATGCATCTGGTTTTACTTTCAAACACAGGTGAGCACTGCTCTCCTGAAGGCGTTAAAGGGGAAACTGAGGCACGAGGGGGTGATACAGGCTGCCGGGGCAATACGCCCAAGGCCATACAGTTAATCCGCGGTAGGCACCGAGCCCATGGCTCCTGTGGGTTTTTACACACACATGGGACCCAGCGATGTCCCAGCTCAGCCCTGGGACAGGATCAGCGGGAGGGGGCAGGGGACAAGGGCAGGAGCAGGTGCTGCAGCAAGACCTGGGCAGCCAGACCAGCAGGCAGGAGTGGTGGCAGCCCCGAGGGGAGTTCTCCTGCCCATGCCTCACATACCTTTGAAGAAGTAAAACTTGCCGCTGAGCTGGGACCAGGTGCAGGCGTCGATGCCGGCGGGGAGGCCGGGCCAGCGCGTCTGCAGGGGCCGTGGGGCGCTGGCATTGCCGCTCGCCGGCACCCCCCAGTAAATGTCCGTCCGCCGGCCCCACCCAGTAGTGGCTGCCCTTGAAGATGTAGAGGTTGTGATCTGCATCTGCGGGGCAGAGGGAGGAGTGAGGGGGTCCCAGGCGAGAGGCGAGAAGCCTCATCCCACCTCCCAGCCACTGCTCCCCAGTTCTCCTCTCCTCCCCGTGCAGCTCCGGGGTTTCTTCAGGGATGCTTGGGTTTTGGAGACTCCCTTCTGCCTTTCCAGCCGCCCTCTCAGCTTTCATAATTCATTGCCTCCACTCCAGCCTGGGGAGGATAAAAGCTGACCACAGCTCACTTTCAAGGCTCGTCTTTCACAGTTGAGCTCCTGCAGCAAATAAGCCTTGCCACGGCCCAAGTTTTAGGATGTCTTCCCCTCTCCCAATACACCAAGCCATCGCTGTGTCCTCAAGATGCTCCACTCCGCGGCAGCGATGTGCACTGGTGATGCCACCAGCCCTGGGAGCACATATGGGGCTGTGGACCAGCCAAACCCACCTTTCCCATCGCCGGACCTTATCAGAGCAGAAACAAGCTGCTGCAGCGCTGGGGCGAGGTGTAGGGATGTGTGTTTTGGGAGAGGGCTGCACCGACCAACACCCACCAGAGGTTATGGCATCGAAGAAGGAGTGGCAGTAATAGGCGCTGAGGCTCCTCTGCTGCCGGTCCCCGCCATAAAGGTCCGTGTTCCAGTCCTGGAAGTGAGTGAAGACCTTTCCCGGGAGCTGGACGGCCAAGCCCTTGGAGGGCTTCCCTGGGATGGAGCAGGGAGCGGTGAGTTGCGGAGAAGGGGCAGGGAAACAGCTTTCCCCAGAGCACTGCATGAGCACAGCGCTGGGGATCCATCCCAGGGCTCCAAACACTCTTTGTCCCACTGTCGGGTTCCTGCCCCGCTCTATACGATGGTGGCAAAAACCCCTTGTTACCCCCAAAAAACACGCACCAGTGTTTCCCTGGTTGCAAATAAGTGGGCAGCAAGTCCAACCTCCCCCGCCCTGGAGGACTTGGTACCCATCCCACATGCTCTACCCCATCTTCCTCCCCAACGGCAAAGGGATGGGGCCCATCCCCACCATGACCCTTGCATGTAGTCCTCTCTCCCTGCTTCTGTCTCCTAGGAGACCTGCTCCGATCCCTGCTCCTCACTCTCCATCCCAGGGAACAGCCCTGGAGGAATCGAGGGACGCTCAGGGAAGCCAGGCTCACCGTACAAGTTCTGGATGGCCAAGATGTCATCCCAGCTGAGGACAAAATCCTTGCTGAGCTTCTTGTAGTAGGGAGACATCAGGGCGCTCTTGATGGGGGAGTGTTCCAGCCCCAGCGTGTGGCCGACCTCGTGTGCCACCACGACGAAGAGGTTGCGCCCTTTGCCACTGCGCAGGGACCAGCGCTCGGCACTGTCGAAGTGGGCTTCTCCGCGCCGGGGGAAGAAGGCGTGAGCCAGGGCACCTCCTAGGGACACGAGAGCCATCAGGCACCGTGGGGCAAGAGAGGACCTCAGCCACAAGCCGAGGGGCAGGGAGGCACATGCAGCTCTGGTTTGCTTAAATATGCATCAATTTTAGCTCTCTGGGAGGTCTCTTGAGAAAGAACAGCAGCTTCCCACAGCGGGTACAGCCCAAACCAGTTCTGCCTTCTGCTCCTGAGTACAGGGGGGGTTTGTCTGCTCTGTGGTTTCTTGCCCCGGGCTCGGGCCAGGGTCTGAAGCCACTGCAGTGACCCATGCCAGGCAAAGGCTCAAGAAGAGAGAAAACCTGAGCGTGTCTGATAGTACCGCACAGAAAGGCTTATCTGGAAGGAATGATCTCAGGTTTGGAGGATACCGTCAGGGTGGGGAAAGTTCCTCAAAGGCCATCAGCATGATCCTATAACGAGCATCTCAACCACCTCGCTGGCAGCCCCTCAGTTGCAGAGTTGGGAGTGAGGACCCCAGATCAGAAAGCAAACTGGTGCAAACTGGGAGGTGTTCTTGATTAGAGGGGCTGCCGGGGCAGAGCCTTGCCTCCATCACCCCCAGCCCATCACCGCCCCAAGCCCTCCTCCCTGCCGGGGAAGAGCCCATGTTGTAAAAGAGAAGCTTACGAGGGGGAAGTGACCAGCACCTGGTCCATCAAAGGCATTGTTGAGCCCATCATTGTGGTCCCCATGGAAGAAGGTCAGGCGGATGTCGGCTGGGCCGTCCCGCGCCTCCCAAAACACCAATGAGGACACGTTGCTCCAGAGCTCGAAGGCGGCTTTCACGGCCAGGCGCACCTCGTGCTGCGGCAGGTAGGAGGGCCAGTTCACCACACGGTAGGTCAGGTGCCGCTTGTACCACCTCCCGCCTGCAAGAGGGGCAAGTTCAGCACGATGATGGGGACTTGGAGTTGTTGTTCCACCTGGGGGCTGCTTGGGTGGAGGAAAGCTTCCCGGTGCTGGGAAAAGCCGTGGCTTTCCCAAGCCGAAGCTGAAAGTCAACCCAGGTGTCCCACCAGCAGCCTCAGCACCCTGCACCAGCAGCAGGACCTGTGAAATCCCTCTGAAAGTGCCACCACCAGATCCCACTCAGAGATTCCCAAGGCTGGAGCTGCAACCAAACCCTAAGACAGGGGACAAAACCTGTTTCAGGTGAGAAGAAGCTGGGGCACCCAGTTTGAACGTCCCCTTGGCGCCTCATGCTTTCCAGGGCCAAATCCAGCACGGGTCCCTGACCTGCAGGTCTCCTGCCTGATGCTAGCCTCATGCCCAGAAGAAGATGCAGCCTAAGGACTGGCTTTCAGGGAGGGGAAGCAAAACCACCTCCGAAAACAAGTGGCCCAAAGGCAAAAGGAGTGGGAAGGGCTCTCAGCAGCACCTTGGGGGCACAACGGAACTGCGGGGATGGGGGATGCAGGATTGCAGCCCGGTTAAGGCAGATTTGCCAAGAACTGGGCACCAGCCAGAGGGAAAACAGAGCCAATCCTCAAGGGGAGAACCGTCGGGTTTGAAACGCATCCCAAGGAAGGAATGGTACTGAACAGCATGATGCTGATCTTCATCACATGCCCAGAGACCCCAGAGATGTCCAGGGCTTCATCCAGCTGGCTGGCGAGCACAGGAGGGGAGGGAAAGTGCCGGTTTCTACCAGGGGGAGCTGCAGCAGAGCCCTGCGGTCGGTCCCTGCAGTCGGTCCCTGCGGCTGGTCCCTGCGGCACCTCTGCACCCTCTGCAACAAGCCCAGATGCTGCAGGGCCACCAAAACCGGGGGGCCACGGGAGGTGTGTGTGCAGAGCTGGGGTTCCCCAGCACCCAAAGCTCCCTTGGTGAGAGGGGGCTCCTCCCTGTCTCCCCTGAACTCCCTCCCTGAGTCCCAGCCTTGTCTGGTTTTTTAGGGGATCTCTTTTCTTCCCCCTGGCCCGTATGAGTAATTTGAACGCAGCAGATACTGCACCAAGGCAAGGAAAAGGAGGCCAGCTCCCCAGTGGTCAGGGCTGGGGTTTCCCCGTTTTTAAGGGGCGGTGGGATGACGGACACAGCGGCTGCCCGACGAAGCTCCTGCTGGGAGAGTGGTAGATCACAAAGCACTTTGCTGGCTCAGCTGCAGCAGCTTCCTGCTTCAAGTAGGATAAACAGCCAACTTAGCACAAAGCCTCCGGCCTTCCCGGCCGGTGCCACCAGCTGTGCGGGCACCCCCTCCCTCCCCTCCCGCCTGCGGGCACCAATATGGCGTTGTTCCCATCCCCGCTGCCTGCTGGTGCCGCCACCCTCTGCACCCCAGCTTGCTGCCACGGGGGATCTGCCGGCACCAGACCGCCGGAATAATAACCGGTGCCACACAGAGCCCTTCCCCGCCTGGGCTCGGCACTGCTGGGCATCTCTTGCCACCCACCCTCAGACCACAGTCCCCAAAAAGGAGCCCCATGAGCCACAGGCATAGGCTGCTTCTGTTCGCCCCTGTCCTGCTGCGTGCCCTTCCCGGCTCTGCCTCATTGCCCTCCTGCCCGGAGCACGGCAGACCCTCTACCCGGGACGGTGCCTGCAAGGGCGATGCTGCATGTCGGGGTTTTGGAAGGAAAGCCAGAGGCAGGAGGAGGACGATGGGGCTGTCTCCTGGGACCATCCATCACCAGCCCTGCCAGATGCAGAGACAGCCTGACACAGCACAGAGCCCCTTCTTAATCTCGCCTTCCTTTTTCCCATGTCCTAAGCGCAGCTGGTCCCAGCCCTCTTGCTCTCTAAGAATCCAGTTACTCATCCACAGGCCCAGGAGGCAGCTCATGAGAGACAAGAGGCCCAATCCTGGACACACAGGAGCAAGAGAGGTTGCTCAGAGCAGAGTTAAAACCCTTAATGCGGGTGAAACAACTCCCCGTGGCCAGGCAGCCCAGCACCAGCAGGTTTTGTGGTTACTGCTGGGTGACTAACACACATTAGAAGTCTCAAAGCTCAGCAGAGCCTGGAGATAACTTCACTGTGTGCCAGCCCCTGCCCTCCGGATCATGCCACCACGGCTGTGCCCGGGGCCACGGTGACCTGACAGCTCCTTGGGAGATGTCCTGGCTCCCTTGACAGCAGTAAAACCACATCAGAGAGCCAAATTTCCCCACGAGTGGGAGTTGCATCTCTCTAATCATTGCTGACATCAAGCCACACAGAACAACTAAAAATAAAGAGGTTTAAAAATAAAGTGGTGCAAAGCCTAGGCGGGTCCTGGGATGGATGCTGTGCCAGTGGGGCTGCACCTCCCCTCCACAGCAGCACCTCCCAGAGCCAGGATGGAAGAGTTGGACTCCCAGCACCCCAGAAACCCAAACCACACCAGGACCCCCGTCATTGACGCTCACCGTGCTGCGTGGTGCGCCTGCGGCGCCGGGCGGCAGATGCCTGGCGTGCCCAGGCAGCGCGGCCCTCCCCGTCGCCCGTGCCACACCGCGGCAGAGCCATCTGATGGAGCGTGGGGGCGTCCAGGACCCCGCTGAGCGGGAGGTGGGTGACCCGCTGGAAGTCCCTGGAAAAGGAAGGGAGACGTCAGCACCCACACCCGGATCCCCCCGGGGGGTTCGGTTGTGTTTGTGCCGGGTGTTTGACCTGAGCCGGGGCTTTCACCCAGCGAGCTTCGTGCTCCACCGTCAGGAATGCAACCAGGTGACAAAACAAGAAGAATTTGCTTCTGCAACCACATCTGACCAGTGAGCCATCTCCTAGCAGGGCAAAAGTAGACAGGGGAGCCTAAAAAATGCCTTTCCCAGTTTTTAACCCCAGTTGTTTGACTTTGCACTTGACTTTGCCCAGGGTCAGGCCAGGGATGCTCCCAGAGCCAACGTGATCTCGACAGGAGAAGTCCGAGCAAGGGCTGTCAGCTCAGCCCTCTGACATCTCCCAGCCGTCCCCAACCCCGGCCTCGACACAGATATTATTGTAAGGGGAGCACAGGGCCATAAAAGGCAAATAAAGCAGCGCAGCGAGGAGCTGGGCTGCCAGCAGCCGGCATCCAGCTGCAGGAGCTGGGTACAGACCGGCGTTTCCAAAAAGGACCAGTTGTGCTTTATCATCGGACCGTGCAAGAGAAAGCCCCCGGCTGCAAAAAGACCCCCATGCAGCCGGAGTTGTGACATTTCTGCTGTGGTTTTAAATAAAAGGCTCATACCTCACCGCCTCCGTGAACTCGGCAGGGCTGTGCGTGCTGGCCCCCGGCTCGCTGAAGTAGCCGTATTTCTCCAGGAACAGCTGCAAGAAGAGAGATGGGAGAGGCGCAGCTCAGAGCACGGGCAGGCGTTCGCACGTGTTGGCTTGGGAGGGGGGGGAAAAGAAGGAGATGCGATGGGAAACAGTGCAGCAAACCCGGGGCTGTGCAGAAACGCCCAGTTATTTTTTTCCTGAGACCTCTGCACCCCAAGCAGCTGCACCTCCTGCGCTCATACAGGTTTATGTGTGTCTCCTCCCCATCATTTCTGATGGCTCTTGGGTTTTTGGCCGCGACATGATGGAGGCGTAGGAGAAAACATTGCTATCAACAGATCAAAAAAACCCTGCTGCCATGTCATCCGCAGCCAGAGGCTACCAAACCCACAGCTCTAATCACCTCGGCTCAACGCAATGATTACAATAAAAGCTAAAGTGCTGCGGACATGAGTAGGGTGGGGTGAGATGGGGTCAGGCTGCAGCCTCCCCCCATCCCCACGCAGGATGTGCTGCTGCAAAGCAGAGACACTCCGGGGGCACTCTGCTCTGCCAAACCATTCTTCTTCTTATCGGCCATTTACATGGACGGAGATTGTCGCTCTGAACTTGCTCCAACACATAAATTGCACGTTAAAGAAAATAAACGGCTTCCCTCTGCCCAGCCTGTGCCCCCAGCTTTCGGAGAAGTTAATAGCCACGGTCGCAGCACACCCGCCTCCCCCGCCGCCAGGGATGTCTGCAGGAGACAAACAAGCCGTCCAGCATCCTGTTAGCGCAACAGAGTCGGAGTTAAAGTAATGAGGAATAAAAAGTGAAATCGGCTGCTTCGTTTCCCGCATCCCGAAGGAGAGGTGGGCTGAGCACCAGGACCGCTACGGACTGCCCCGAGACAGCACGGCCGCTGCCCACTGCCGAGCCTTGTGCTTCTAAAGCCTCTTCCCTCCCTGCTCATCTGGGGGGTTATTGATGGGCGAGAGGGCAGGGAGAAGGGGGTTGGTGTTAACCTGCACTCGATGCTAATCCTGACCATCCACCTCCGGCGGGTGAACCAATCCCCCACCGCGCCCCCGCGGAGGTGGCAGCATCCCTCCTGGATGCGGGCAGCACCAAGCTGGCCACGTTTTGCCGTGCGCCTGGTGGGGGGCGCGAATGTTCGGGATATGGCAACCCCAGGTTGCGCCAGGGCCTCTCCCTCTCCTCCTCCTGCCCAAACCCTCCACTTGCCATTAACAGTCATCTTCACGTCATCCCCAAACCCGTCACCCTCTGCGCCTGCCACCTCCCCGCGGGCAGGGCAGGCACCTTCCACGTGCTCTCTGCCTGCTGCTCGCCCCTTTGGAAGCCCTCTCTATCTCCTCCCCCGACCTCATCTCCTCCAGCCACCGAATTGATCTCCTCCTTTACACCCCTTCTACACGGAGGATCCCCCTCCAGTTGCAGCATAGCAAGGACCGGCATGGCTTTCTGCTGGGACATGCTCTTCATCCAGCCCCAGCCAAAAAATTTGGCCCCGTTTCCCACCGAACATATTTACCAGCTGCCTAGCTCAGCTGGAGGTAGCAGCATCTTGCAGCAGCATCATGCTGCAGCAGTAAAAGCCTGAGCGTGGCCGGAGTCACCCAGACATGGCACACCCGGTCCCGGTGAGTCAGAATAAATCAGGTGTGAGTAAGAGCCACGCCGGCAGGAGAGAGCATCGGTTTGTCCGCTGGACGAAGCCGCAACATCTCTGCCTGGGGATGGACCGTATGGCCTGGACGTGCCATCTCCTCAGCCACACAGGGATAACTTCCCCCTTTACATGGGTACCAGGAGGCAAAATACAGCAGCGACTCGGGATGCTCACGCAGGGGAGGAGGATACGGGGACGGAGTAGCCTCATGAGGACGGGGCGGCAGGGAGGTTTGGTAGCCCTGAGAGAGTAGTCTGGAGAGGAGAAGGTATCTGGCCATCTTCATCAGTTGTTGTGTTTTTATAATGTCCTCCTCCAGAATTAGAAAATCGCCAGCTACGTATACGGACGCGGGGTGATAATCCCCAGCGCTGATATCACTGCAGATAAATGTGAGCTACAAAGCACCCAGACAGAGAGTCCTGGGTCTCAAAAGCATGGCAAAGTCTGAACCTTTTCTGCCGCAATTTTGCTTTCACTTAGCATCTAAAACATAACAACTGTAAACTGTTTCCTCTCCTGTAACCTAACACAATCCCATTCTTACAGCATGAAAATGTTTTTTCCCTCCCATGACCTCACGAACGCTTGAAACCCCATCTGGACAAGTCAGGGTGCGTGGCAAAAAAGCAACGGCTATCACAGCAGCTGCTCCTGAACGGCACCAGAATGTACACAGGCCGCTGGCTTTATTATTCCTGCCCAGATCTCCTTGAGCTTTGAAAGTCCAAGCAAAGCGGCCCTTTCCCTGCAGTTTCTGACCTGTGTCACGCTGAGGTTCTCGCACACAGGTACCAGCTCTCGGGCTGCAAAACCACCAGGAGAAATTTTATGACATTTTGTAGACACGGTTATGGTGAGCTCTGAGCGATGTTAGTCCTGGAAACACAGAGCTACAGGAGAGGGATGTGCTGATCCTCCGCTGTGCAAGGTACTTATTAGACGGCAGAGCATATCAACTCCCCTAGACCAGGGACTTTTCAGGGTGACAGGGGAACCCAAGAGCCTCGTGCCACGGCGTCCTGTGCCCAAACCCACGCTCAAGACCCCCTCCTTCACTGCCCATGCTCTGCACACCCCCAGAGGCCATCCAGGCTCTGGAAGAGCTGGGTGGAAGCTGGCACCAGCCTGTTAAACCTCTCTAGAGGCTGCAATGCAAAGCCTGGCCGTGCTGGGAAAACCCCCTCCCTCCTGCCCCAGATGGGGAAATGCTTTTTCAATACAATGGGAAAAGAAAAACAGCAGGAAACCAAGAGCTGAGCATTAATACGAAATATGCCCGGCTCCCACTCCACACGAGGGAGGGAGAAGAGGAAAGGTCTGACTGCCTGGGAGCCAGCACCGGGGCAGAAAAGCTTTCGGGGCTGCAACAGGGACAGCGGGAGGACGGTTTGGGGGAGAGGGAGGAGCCCTTCCCATCTTAGGGCTCTGACGGGGAGCTGGTTACAACCCTGGAAATCATCTCTGTTGAGACTTAGAGTCAAGGAAACACCTTGCCCTCGACCGCAGGCATCCCCGATGGAAGACGGCCAACAGCAAATACAATTAGACCTCCCTCCCTGGAAACCGGGATAACAAGAGTGCAGAGACAGCAGGCTCCGGTCCTGCCTGCCCTCCCCTCCAGACACCCAGCTTCTGGCACCTTTCCACCAGTTAAGTATCAGAGAAGCCTCACGTTGGGCTCCCGTTGACCGTGGTCCCGTCTGCTCTGCCTGGACACAAACCCCATCTCTCCCCTCCATCCCCCGGCAGCGGAGGGAAGCAATCCCATCCTGCCGAAGGGCGGGCAGGCGTTTCGTGCCGCGGTTACAGAGGATGCCAGCCGCAAGCTGCACCTTCGAGGGCTTTTTATTTTAAGCAGGACAACAGCAACCTGGCGAGCCAGCCCAGGCGGGTCCTCAGCCCTGGCGCACAGCAGCCCCAGGCTCCGTCCCGCATCATTTCACCACCGAGACAGACACAGGGGAAGCCACAGCTCCCGCTTTACAGCCTCAGTTTCCCCCCACAGCACAGACACAAGGAGAGCTGACCCCCGAGACAAGGACGTTTTGGCACAGCCGCCGAAGGAGCGGCGGCTCGAGCCAGCCCAGGCGGGTCCTCAGCCCTGGCGCACAGCAGCCCCAGGCTCCGTCCCGCATCATTTCACCACCGAGACAGACACAGGGGAAGCCACAGCTCCCGCTTTACAGCCTCAGTTTCCCCCCACAGCACAGACACAAGGAGAGCTGACCCCCGAGACAAGGACGTTTTGGCACAGCCGCCGAAGGAGCGGCGGCTCCTCCTGCCCATCAGGTCGCTGCCTGCCGGAGCGCTGCCTTCGGGAGATGTCAAGGCATTTAAAAACGTTCGTTTCTTTCCGCTCTCCCAAGCCACATTCCTGCCTGCAGTCGCAAACCCTTAGGCAGAGTCCTTGTGTCTCTTTTGTTTAAGTGTGTGTATAAGTACCTGTATAAATATTATATATATAGACACACAGAGACACACAAGAAGGGAGATTAGCAAGTACAGAGCTTCGTTGTCCTCCCGCTGAAAAGACAGCAAAACATCAGCTGTCTTTTGTCTGTATGTTAATGACGGAGGCTGATTAAAACCCCAAGCCCCATCTCATTGCTGTGATGCTCCCCCACTGTGCCTAATCCGGTCCTGAAGGAATCTCCTCTCCCACCTACCCCTCCTGAAAATCTACTTTAGCTGGAAATTATCTACTTGCCACTGAAGATGTGGAGCTGGGGAAATACTGTGCCCAGCGTCTTTTAAGCACCTTTAGTTTTCACACTTGATCTTCTGGAGCTGAGAAGCAGGGGCAGCAGGCCAGGACTGCAGCAGTTCTAACTAAAACCCCTCCTGGTTTCAGTAACCCAAATCTTCAGGATGCTGAACAAAAAACTCCCTGCCTCCCTGTCTGCCTGGACAGGAGGGATGCTATGGGACAGGAACAATAAATATCGCATCGCTTGAAAGGAAACAAATGCCATGAAATGCACTGGGCTTGGTATTACCTACCCGCGGGGCTGGCAGATTGCTCTGCTTGCTTGGGTGTTAAATACAGGAATATCTCATCAGCAATTAGCACAGTTCACTCCTGCATTTGAAACCAGCTCCCAGCTTTGCCCCGGCACCCCAGGCACCCCGTGCCCTGGGCGGTGCCGGGCTGCACCACCCAGCCGCAGCTCCGGCAGCACCGAAGCTATCCGAATGCGACCCAAAACACTTGGGGAAAACGGGGAAAAACACTGGGCTTGGCCAAACCTTCCCCTGCGAATACCAGAGCAGCTGACAAACCAGTTTGGTCACGCAGACTGGTTGTGCTTTCATGTCTAAGGAGAGAAAGAAAACAAGACGCTTGGTCTTCGCCCTCCATCGGGATGGGAAC